CTCCGAACTGGTACGGACAAGGGGAATCCGCCTGTTTAATTAAAACAAAGCATTGCGATGGTCCCTGCGGATGCTAACGCAATGTGATTTCTGCCCAGTGCTCTGAATGTCAAAGTGAAGAAATTCAACCAAACGCGGGTAAACGGCGGGAGTAACTATGACTCTCTTAAGGTAGCCAAATGCCTCGTCATCTAATTAGTGACGCGCATGAATGGATTAACGAGATTCCCACTGTCCCTGTCTACTATCCAGCGAAACCACAGCTAAGGGAACGGGCTTGGCAGAATTAGCGGGGAAAGAAGACCTTGTTGAGCTTGACTCTAGTCCGACTTTGTGAAATGACTTGAGAGGTGTAGTATAAGTGGGAGCTTCGACGAAATTGAAATACCACTATTTTTAACATTATTTTACTTATTCCGTGAAACGGGGGAAGTTGCCAAGCATGAAGTCACATTTAACCAAAAAGCATGAAGTACACAAAAAGAACACGGACAATTGCTAAGTTTATCCTTGTATCCTTATTTTATTGATCCGACCCAATTGAAAAATAAAAAAAGATGATAAAAATACTGTTCACTGCTTTTAAATCTATGAGTAAAGTCCTCCATTTGAAATTGCGTTATTATACAAAATTGGAATGAAAAAAGAAAATCCTACAGCTAAATTTGATATATTTCCTTTTCATTTTATGCTGGGTGTTAAGTTTTCCTTGTTTCTTTTTGAAAAGGAAAAAGTAAAAAAAAAAAAAAATTCCACAGCTAGCAACTACTCCACCTTTCCTTCTTCACCAACAACAAGGGATGCCTTCGATCCAAAAAAAAAAAAAAACAAGGGATGCCAGGTCAGCATCTCAGATAAGTATCCCAACCAAAACCAATCAAATAATGACATCTGTATCTCTTTTTTTTTCTTTTTTTTTTCTATTTCTCTTTGAATTAACTGCGGACATCCTTTTGACGTCCCATCTTAGAGGCATCAAGTTTAACGTCTAGATCACATGCAATCATATGGAGAAACACTTGCAGAAGGTACACTTTAGAGGGGCGGATCTTAAGCCAGGGCAGGGTAGGCTACCGCCTACCCAAAAATATTTCACTAAAAAAAAAACCTATATATAAGCTATGTAATTGATATCCATTCCATGTGTTGGTATACACTCTTGCCTACCCAATCCATATAAAACCTACAGCACAAGCCCACTCAAACTTTAAAAAATTGAAAAAAAAAATTATGACCAGCCAGCCCATGTTATGAATGGCCCAGTCAAACTTTAATAAAATAAAGAATATAACTTAAGCAGCCAAATAGTGGCTGTGCAGTGCAATTCCAGACAGAGTCGGGAGAGCTTCTTCTTAACGCAAGTCTTGGCTGTGCTGTGCAATCGTGGACACTGGACAACCTCTTCTCTTCTCTTCTCATATACAAGGAAACAAGTATTCTTCTTAATCTCTTCTCTTTAATTATCTTCTTCTATTGGGTTATTCCTAAAATAAATGTATGCATCTTAGTTTTAATTTTAATTTGAAATTGAGTTTTCTAGGGTTTAATTAGGAATGAAATATAATTTGGGGATTTTGTTGAAATTAATTAGGTCTTTGATTTTAAGAATTTTGTTGAGATGTTTGATTTGATGTTGGCATTGTTGAGATGTTTGATTTGTTGTTGGTATGTTCATGTTTGACTAAATTCATTGATGCTATTATGAGAAATTGTTTGATTTTTTGTTGGGATATTTGATTAAACTTCTCTTCTTGGCAACAAGTACTCTTCTCTCATTCTCTCATTTTTAATTATCTCATGCTCTTTAATTTGAATAGAAAATATTCTAGGGTTAATTGGGAGATTTTGTTGAAATTAATTAGGGCTTTGATTTTAGGAATTTTGTTGATATATTTAATTTGTTGTTGGTATTGTTGTGATGTTTAATTTGTTGTTGGTATTGTTGAGATGATCAAGATTTTAATATCAATTATCTTGAACATGATCCAGGATTACGTCGTCTAATATGCAAATATTCGGTGAATGAACAAGATAATGTGCGAAGAGCATATATTCTTTTAGGGCCATGTCAACCTGAGTTAGAAGATTATCCAAGCCACTTAGAAGGAAAAATCTTACGTCAATTTAATAAAAAGTGGTTTGGCCAATTCTCTTGGCTTGAGTATTTAGTTGCTAAGAACAAGGAATTTTGTTTTCCTTGTTTCCTGTTTGATAAAACTCAATCATTTTCAGCCTTTATTGTTGATGGGTTTCAAAATTGGAAGAGAATTGGTGGGAATCATTGTGCGTTTCAACATCATGTAGGCAAACTAAATTCACCACGTCATCTTTCTATGCAAAAGTGGATTAGCTTAAAAAAAAAATCCTTATGTTCATATTGAAGAAGTGGTAGAAAAGTAATCAAATCAACAAGTGATGGACAATCGGTTGCAACTTACAACCACAATAGAGGGTATTAGGTATCCAGCAAATCAAGCATTGACTTTTCGAGGTCATGATGATCCATTGGCTCATCTAACCGAGGCAATTTTGTTGAAATCTTAAAGTCTTTTGCAAGAATGAATATGGAAGTTGAGAAAGTTGTTCTAGATAAGGCTCCTCATAATGCTGTTTTAGGACCTTATCAACCGGAGTTAGAAGACTATCCAAGCCATTTAGAAGGGCGAGACTTACGTCGATTTAATAAATTGTGGTTTGGTAAATTCCCTTGGCTTGAGTATTCAATTGCTAAAGATTTGGCATTTTGTTTTCCTTGCTTCCTATTTGACATGAATCATTCACATTCAACCTTTACTATTCATGGATTTCAAAATTGGAAGAGAATTGGTGGTAATCAATGTGTATTTCAAAGTCATGTAGGCAAGCTAAATTCTCCACATCATCTTGCTATGCAAAAGTGGGTTAGCTTAAAAAACTCATCTCTTCATATTGAAAATGTGGTAGATAAGCAATCAAAGCAACAAGTAATGGACAATCGGTTGCGACTTACAACCACAATAGAGGGCATTCGGTATTTAGCAAATCAAGCATTGGCTTTTCGAGGTCACGATGAATCCGTTGACTCATCTAATCGGGGCAATTTCGTTGAAATCTTAAAGTCTTTTGCAAGAATGAATATAGAAGTTGAGAAAGTTGTTCTAGATAAGGCTCCTCATAATGCTCAGTATATTGCCCATGATATACAAAAACAGATTTTGCATATTTTTGCTACCAAGGTGAAGAAGAAAATTTGTGCCGAACTTGGGAAGAACAAATATTGTATTCTTGTTGATGAATCACTTGATGAATCAGGCAAGGAACAAATGGCTATTATTCTAAGATTTGTTGATTGTGATGGATTTATTCGTGAACGCTTTTTTTGATATTGTGAGTGCCGTAGACACTAATGCCTTGACTCTTAAACAAGAGATATGCAAAGTGCTTGATAATAATGGTATTCTAATGGAAAACATGCGTGGCCAAGGGTATAATGGTGCTAGTAATATGCGTGGTTCATGGAATGGATTACAAGCATTGTTTCTTCAAGATTGTCCATATGCATATTATGTGCATTGCTTTGCTCATCGCTTGCAATTAGCATTAAATGGTGCGGCTAAAGATGTGAAGGTTGTATGGAGATTTTTTTCAATGTTGACTAACATTGTGAATTTTGTTAGTGCTTCTGCTAAGAGCCGTAATGAGTTAAATTTAATTCGAAAAGCTGAACTCAAAGAGTTGTTGGATTCTAGGGAACTTGAGACAGGTAGAGGACTTAATCAAGGTCGTAGTTTGAAACGAGCTGGAGCCACTCGTTGGGGATCTCACTTTGCCTCTATTACAAGTTTAATGAGTTTATTTAAAGAGACTAAAATACTTCTTCAGGAAATCAGTGAACATGAACCTAACCAACAATTTCGTGGTGATGCAGAGAGTAACTATATTGCTATGATGTCTTTTAAGTTTGTGTTTGCATTGCTTTTGATGGATAAAATTATGGGATTGACCAACTTTCTCTGTCAAGTGTTTCAGAAAAAAAACTCAAGATATTGTAAGTGCTTTAAACTTTGTTGAAAACACAAAATCACAGTTCCAAGATATGAGAGCACATGGCTGGGATGATTTATTCATGAGTGTGGTATCCTTTTGTGAACAACATGGTATTGATGTTCCTGATATGAGTTCTCGTTATATGATGGGCACACGTCGTTCTTGTCAACAAAAAGATTTTATTACAGTTGAACATTACTATCGCATTGATGTATTTAATGATGTGATAGATTGCATGTTGAGGGAGTTAAATGACAGATTTCCAGAGCAAACAGTTGAACTTCTTATTCTTAGCTCAGCATTGGATCCTCGTAATTCTTTCAAATCATTCAATATTAGGCATCTATGTAAACTTGCTAAGAAATTCTATCATGCTGATTTCAGTCCAAGTGACTTAAAAGGTTTGGAAATTGAGTTGAGGTATTTTCAAAATGATATGTATCACCTTCCCTGCTTTAAGGACCTCACCACTCTTCCTCAGTTATGTCAACAATTGGTGGAAACAACTTTGGCAGAAAACTACCATTTGCTTTACAGATTGATTCAGTTGGTGTT